TGTGTGTGTGTGTGTGTGTGTATGTGTGTGTTTTGTGTGTGTTTACACTTTACACGCGTGTGTATGTGTGTACATGTGTGTGCATGTATGTGAGCGCCCGTGAGCACGTTTGCGTCCCTGTGTACACCCTCACCTCTCAATTACGTAGTCCAGAGTGTATGGCCACAGCGGGTCCTTGCCAATCTGTGTCTTGGCGTTAAGGATAGAGGTGTCGTAGAGGAAGTGGTTGCTCTGTAGCACGTCAAACTGGACATTGCCGGCCACTCGCAGGTACGGTGCTCGGAACCCAACGATGCCATCCACCAATTCCTGGTCGTTGGTGTTCTTCATCATCATATCACGGAGTCCCTGGATCTGTCAGCAAAGGCGGGGTCAGGGGTCAAGGGTCAGGGTATCAAGGGTTATGAGGCTGCATGAGTTTGTGTCTGAGCTTAACCCTATCCGTACGCCCTGGGGTAATTTTGTACCCCCGGGGTTGCATTCTTCACATCTTAGAATACTTCTAGTGCGAAGACCTCTTTGAAACTTTCAGTATTTCTCAAAAATCATTTTGACAGACTGCTATGCAAAGCGTACGGATCAAATTAACGAGTAAATTCCCTCTTTGGAAAGAGTTCCCCACGTCGTATGGATACGATAGTAAAACACGACGTACGGATAGGTTTAAGCATAATAGCCCCGAACCTGATTTACGTCATTTTAAAGAGTTGTGTCTACTTATCCATATTGGATTGTTATAAAGCCCCCCCCCCTCCCTCCCCCAAGCACAAGTCTCATTCTTTCTGTCTGTCTTTTTCTTTTTCTCTCTGTTACTTTCTTTCTGTCTGTCTGTCTGTCTGTCTGTCTGTCTGTCTGTCTGTCTGTCTGTCTGTCTGTCTCTTTCTCTCTCTCTCTCTCTCTCTCTCTCTCTCACACTCTCTCTCTTTCAGTTGATTATACACACACACACATAAATATGTGTGTGAATGTGTAATCGTTTGTTTGTTTGTGTTTTTGTTAGTTTGTGTGTGTGTGTATGTGTAAACATACATTTTAGGTTTGCATCGTTGTATGTATACCAGGGCATGTCCATTCAGGAGTTCATAGGAGCTACATTTCATATTAAAGCATTTTACAAATACGTAATTAACATTATATAATGTATATATACATGTAAAACTACAACAACCCCCCCCCCAAAAAAAAAAAAACCACACCCCACAACAAACAAGCAAATAAACAAACCAACAAAGAAAAAGACCACTCAAGCTTACCTCATTTTGCATCTCGGCGAAGTCGCTCGGGTCGTCTCCTTTGGGCAGTGTGTGGTGGACTGTGTGACAAGCTATCTCGTGGCCGTCATTATACAGCTTTTTGACCAGGGCGTAGTCGGTGTAGTCGTGCTGGACGTAGAAAGCCGTTCTGGAAAGGATTGGTTAAGAATGTCATGCTGTATTTCATGCAATGTCTTGTAAAGAGCTTAGGACGTAATAATATTTACCCTCGAAGAGGAAAAAAGAAGCTAAACTCTGGTTGACTCACAGAATAAAGTACACACACACACACACACACACACACACACACACACACACACACACACACA